CCCTACAGAAATACAATTAAAAAATTCTGTTCAACTGACTCTTGCTTGTACTGAAAGTTAAAAGAAAAAGACTAAGGACTTTTACCTCCTGCTTTCCATCCAAACTGGTAAGGAGCACTGGTCGACCTATACATATGTTTGCAGACTTCATAGTGTTAAGTCCAAGATGAACAAGGGAATTTTGGAATGTCTTAGGAACTTTGCCATCTACTATAAAAGAAGAGAGAATTAATTTTATACTATTTTATAACTGAAATTAAGGCATTTTTAAAGAGTAAATGAAAATCCTATACTCATTTAACTGTATCAACGAACTTATCAGGTCCTGAAGAAACGTTCTTTAAAAAGAAAAAAACTAAGGTAAAGCTAAACCTCTCCAAATGTTTGCTGGCAATATGAAAATATAAATGTACAAAGTTTAAAATTAAAAAAAAAAAACAACAAAACTCTCGGTTCATTAAGAGCATACTTGCAGCCAGGCAGTGGTGTCACACACCTTTAATACCAACACTTGGGAGGCAGAGGTAGGCAGCTCTCTGAGTTCAAAGCCAGCATGGTCTACAGAGTGAGTTCTAGGACAGCCAGGACTACACAGAGAAACCATGTCTGAAAAAAACCAAGAGAAAAAAAGAAAAGACAAGACCATAAACCAAAACATACTTGTGGCTGGGGTATTAGTTCTGAAGTAGAGCACTCACCTAGTGTGGCCAGGGCCTTGAGCTCTGTTCTCAGCATTGTCGGAAACAAACAGCAGCAACTACCAAAACTAAGCAGACTTCCAACAGTCTCTGTGCTCTCTGCAGAAAGACTCTGAGTGGCTACTCGGTCTCAATGACTCCAACCAAGAGCTCACACATATGTCTGGCTCCAAAGGCTTGTTTCTACTTCTGAACCACATGATCCAGGTTCAAAGCCTTCCCTAAAAGCCTCCCCAGCTCCCTGTTAATGAACTTCTATCCAAGTCCTTGTTTCCGGATATATTATAAAGTTTTCTGCTTATAACATCTAAACTGACTCACGCTCTCCATAGACTACTACTACCCGTCCTTATTCCTTATAAGACTACTCTCCATAGACTACTACTACCCGTCCTTATTATTCCTCCAGGACTCTACATTTAATGTGAGCAAGCATGTAGGTAAGAGGTCAGTTTAAGGGAGTCCATTCTTTCCTTTACACCAAGCAGAGTCCAGGGGTCAATCACACATCATCACTAACAGCAGCAGGCGCTTAGAGCAACGAGTCACATTACATTCACAATCAAAAAGAAGCAATGAATGCACACATGATCCGCCCGCTTTCTGACTCTGGATGTAATTGACTAGTTCTCTCAAGCTCCTGCCACTGAGGCTTCCTTCAACGAACTATAACCTAGAATTGCGAGTCAGAATCCATTCTCCCTTAGGCTGCTTTTTTCAGGGTATTTTAACACAGCAAAGGAAAGGAACCTACGACAGCTCCCAGTGCATTACAAGTATGCACCACCACATTACAGTTCTCTGTGTTATGTGCCTTGAGGCAGGGTCTCTTACTCAATCAGAAAGAGGTCTGACAACTTTTGGCTAGTCTGGGCCAGTGAGCTCCCAGGATCCACCTAGCCCCAATTATAAGGGTACAAGACACATCCAGCCATACTCAGCTTTTTACATGGCCACTGGATATTCGAACTCAGGTTCTCAAGCTTGCACAGTAAGTGCTCTTGTCCCACCATCCAGCTTTTTTACATAGGTACTTGATATCTGAACTCTGGTCCTAAAGACTGTGCCACAAAACTTTTATCCACTGACTCATTTCACTAGCACATAAAGTCAACTTCAAACAAACATCCATCCTTGCTCTACCGCCTCACGGAGTTTATAATCTAGTAGGATGAGTTCTGTGATGAGTATTGGATAACTCTATAGTTACAAACTAAGACTATACAATAACAAAATACCTAACAAAGTTTATTAGATATGATCTGACCTAATTTGGGAGAATTAGAGACTGCTATTCAAAGAAAGTACTGCTAAAATTCAAGTGTGGAGAAAGAAGAAATAACTAAATACAAAGAGAATTTCTATTTCTCAGCAGAAAAAAAGCATGCAGAAATGCTGTGGCTAGACTGGAGCACGATACATCCTTTAGAGACTAAGAGGGTTGCTTCAGGAAGACCAAAATCATCCAGGGCAGTGTACTGCATCAAGATACTGGTCACAATCCTGACAGCAATGGAAACCCATGAGGATGAATAGCAGGACCATGAAAGGACTTTCATTTTAAAAGATCATTCTAACTAAAAAGTAGAAAAAAAAGTAAGAGAACAAAATTGAAAACAGAGAGATCAAATAACGGCTGTTGTTGTACTTCAGTGAGATGATGGTGTTTGAGTTTGAAATAGACGCAGTACGAATGCTGTGAGAAGTAATACAGAAAATATCTGGATTGGTACAGAAGCAATAGAGCAGCTACAGATGCGCAAATGGGTGGTGTTGTGCCTGACCCCGAGGTTTCAGAATTCTCTAGGTATAACATTTGTATTCCTGGAAGAAGTAGACATAGGAAGTTGATTCTAAAGTGACTTTGAGAAATTGAAGGGACGAGGTAATGGACAGTGCTATTTAAAATAAAGTCTACAAACTACTTGTTGCTAGTTCATAGTTAAGTGAAAAAAACAAAACAAAACAAAACAAAAACCACTTAGAAACTTTTATAAGTTTTATAAGCACTGACTATTTTACGAAAGTGTCAATCTGTGACCTGTTTAACTTTGCTACAGAAAGGGTTAGAAAAATCCTGATGTCAAATCACAACTGAATCAACTCATAAACATCAAGCTTTACAAAAAAAAAAAAAAAAAAATCAAAACTGAAGAGGACATAAATGGGAAACTTAAGCTTTCGATATTCTTGCCATGAAGAATATTTAAAAAAAAAAAAAGATATCAGATTTGAGAAACTTCAATATTTCAGAATCGATGGTAAATCATAATAGTTACCAATGCACATGGAGAAAAGTCAGGAAAATCTAATGATAAATAAAATAAGCAGTGAAATGTTTTATGGAAGAAAAGACCAACAATGCCGAAGGCTACAGTGTCAAAGGCAAGTAATGAAAACCATCCACTGGATTTGCCAACACAGAGACCGACTATCTGTGACCATTACAAAGCAGTTCCCAAGAGATGATGTCATGGAAGTCAAATGGGACCAGGGGTATGTGACTGACAAATGGCAAAGAACTCTGTCTAAAACACAAACACACTCACGCACACACACAAACAAGACAAAAGATACAACATTCATAAAAATAGACCACAATGCAAGTGTCTATGGACACTCAAAACATTATATTAAATGTACACGCGTACACACGCATATACTACATATTTTATAGTATAATGAGTAGGCAATTAAAATGTGTAGAGAGAGGGTGGTGGCAGGAAGAAATTGTGCAGCTTTTCCAGTGTTTTAAGACTGAAGAGAATTGAGCCTGGCTAAATGACAGTGGGAAGGATCTACTCGAAAAAAAGGTTGAGTCTGCAGAACACAACAAGCTGTATTCTGTTTTCTAAAAAAAAACGACGCTAAGGCTAAGATAGTCTTCAAAGTCTTACTGAACATAAAAACCATGCCCCTACTTAGTCTCCTCCGTTTTTTCAAAACAACCACACATCAAGCATGCTAAAAGATTTCCAAGTAAATGACTTTTCAGACGTTAAGACTGTCCATTCACCCAAGCCAACAAAACTGATCTGAGACAAAGGCTCTGGAATCAACTCAATCTGAGCTCAAACATGGACTCTGCCAGCTGGTACCTGGGTAACCCAGAGGGAACTCCGTTAGCTTCTTCGACTCTGCAAAACGGGTATCACTACGGACCCATTTATCACGAGTGACGGCGTGCCGTCACTCGGGGGGGCAAAAACGAAACATCAGAGCACAACGGCCGCTCGGGCAGCACGGGCTCCTCATCAAACTCAAGGCTAAGCTTTTCCGCCCCTGCCGGGTCGACCGGCTAAGAACCACTTCTGGCAGGGCTGGACGAACCGTTCATCTTCAAGGATGAACCTCGGGGGGGGGGGGGGGGGGGGGCGCCGGGCGGGCCCGGGGGGGGGGGGGGGGGGGGGGGGGGGGGGGGAGGCACACGCCAGGCCCGGGGCTCGGTCTCCAGGACTGCCAAGGCGAAAGGAAGAAACGGGAAAACGAAGACCCTCCACATGTGTGCAGAGGCTCCACGCTCCGCGGGCTCCCGGGTCACGCCCACCTCCACACGCCGCGCTCCCCTCAGGCGCCCCAGCCCCGCCGCTGCCCGCGCTTTCCTCACCTTTCTCGAGGAAGTTGGTCACCACGAGCATCCCCGGCTGGGCGAGAGGGGCCGAGCCCTCGCCGGGCGGAGCGGCAGAGAGCGAGGGCGAAGCGCCCTCGGCGCCCTCCTTCTGCCGCTTTCTGTTCTTCTTGGAAGACATGACCGCAAGCTGTCGGAGAAGAGCAGACCGAAAGCCGGCTCAACGTGCGCCGCTCGGGGAGAAAACTTCCGGGTCAGAGGTCAGCCGCTCAGCGCGCAAGCCGTAATGCTCCGCGCAGAGCGCAGCCCTCGAGGCTGAGGCGGTTGACGAGGGTCCCGCAAGACACTCCGGTAAAGGAAGACGGGCGTGGCGGCGTGGGAACCGACGTTTACGTAACGAACCCTCGAAAAGTGAACTCGGCTTCCTCCGCCTCGTCCAGAAGCAAATATCAGTTTAAAGGGAAAAGAAAAAAGATCCGAACGTTTCTCCCCTCTGTCCCAGAGCCGTCGACGACACTCCGCAGTCCGCTCTACTGACCTGGGGGCCAAAGGGAAAGGCCAGCTCAATTTTAACGTGTGGCGACACTCTACGAGAGTTTACGGTCATCCCGCGGCCCAGCGGAAAAGAGGGCGGGGCGAGCGCCGGAAATAGTCAGTTTGTTCGCGGCGAGGGGGCGGGGCGAGCGCCGGAAAAAGAGGTGAAACCGCACGGGGCAACAAGGGCGGGGCGGGAAGCGGGCCGGAGGTGCGCCCAGGCCGTGTCAGCCGACGTGGGCGGGGCGGGGCGGAGCTGGCCGGAACGGGCCGGGCTCAGCGAGCGCTGGAAGGGCCAGGTACAGCGATGAGGTGGCTGAAGAGTTCCCGACTCTGGCTCGCGGCGCTGCTTCGTGCCGGCGGAGGCGGGCTCCGGGCGGGGCGGCGCACAGCCTCGGGCGCGGCCGAGCTGCAAGGCGAGCTGGACAGATTTGGGGGCGTGTCGGTGCACCTGGCGCGGCAGCGCGGGCTGCACGGGCTGGAGGCCGCGGCCTTCAGGAGGCTCCTGCAGGGCAAGTGCGGGTCCCGGGCCCCGGGCCCCGGAAACCAGGGCGGAGCGAGCGGGCTCTCGAGTTCACCGTGACCTGGAAGTGCCCTCAGCCGGGTCCGGGTCCAAGCCCTGGATACTCACCTTTGCCATTGCCGCGGCTTCGCAGCGCCTGGCACGGCGTTGGCCACGCATTTAACTCCTAGTGAGCCCTGACGGTCTCACTGCTTGCTACCATGCGGCCTTAATGTTGCTGGCACTTAGGTTCTGCCACACGCTTTGCCAGGCAAAACTATCTCCCAATCGCACGGATAGGAGCTGGCAGGTGAAGAGCCAGCTTGTTCCTACCCACAGAGCTTTGCAGTTTTCAGTAGGAACACATCGCTGCCTTTGAACGTTGAGCCCAGTTACCTGAAAAGAAGCTTGGGTGAAGAAGCCCAAACTTTGGGATAAATGTCTGATTTGTTAGAGCAGTCAGCTTTTCAAACGGAAGACATAGCATGGAAATTGAGCTGGGGAAAGGTCCTTTCACACAACCAGGAAGCCACGAAAGGTCTTTATGAGCAACAGACATGGCTAATTAGCATTTCTAATGCTGTTCAATCTTCAGTTTACATCATGTCTGCTGCTTGTAAATTCTGAGAAGCCCGCCTAGGCTGCAACTGTTCCTAATACGTGTACACATATGGGCGGGCACAGGTGGTTTTCGAACATAGCACTTACCAGTGACCAGTGATAATCTAAGCACCGCTCCAGGGTTCAAGGCCTAGACTGTGCCACTGGCTTTGCCAGGCTTTAAATTGAATGATCATTGAAAAGACTTAGGTGAATAACGCTAGCCAGCTCTAGGTACCGGAGAAGAGTGATCAAAGACACCCTAAATGAAACCCGTAGCTCTGATGTAAATATTTATGTATCTTTAATAAAACGTTTCATTGTAATTATCAAGTACAAGACATTGTTTTAAGTATCTAACAAATACGAATTTATTTCATCTTCATAACTGGAAAATACATGCACATTCCAGTTGAAAGATGTCGGCACCAAGACCCAGAGACAATGGATACCTTCCTCTAGCTCTGGGTCTGTGCTTCACGAGCTTCCAGTAGTTCTGTGGTGATGGAATCAAACCAAACTACTTGGCAGTGCCTGTAAAGAGGAACTGATTTGAGAAGAAAGTCTGATAGGATGTCTGTCTCTTTGCAGGGTTAAACGTAGAGTTCACACTAATGGCTGTGAAAGCATGTTAGCACATGGAGATCACTATTCCCTTACTGCTGTTTCCTTACTGGCAACTCAGATGTTAGGGTTATAGTGTAACTAGTCCTACACTACATAGACTTTTTTTTTTTTTTTTTAGCAGATAGGTTTTGGGATATAAATGTTACAGATAACTCAAGCTGGGCACAAACTCATGACCCTCCTACCTCTGCTTCCAGAGTACTGGGATTACAGAGGTAATTGCCATGCCTAGCATCCCATACAGCTTGTACTGGCGGTGAAGTAGCCCTGTTTTTAGTGGGAGGATTGCAAATTCATGATACCCTAACTAGGAATACAAAACTAGTTAGTAGATGTTGGTGGATACCATCAGGTAGTGTGTGACACACTCTAAGTCACACAGACATAGTATGATCTTTAGCTCGCATAATAATAGCAGGTGAGCAGTGGTCAGGAAAGAGTGTTGAGGAGGTCACATAGGAGCCAGGCTTCCAGGAGCGTCTACAAGCCGCAGAGATGGGGAGGAGAGGGAAAGCCACTAGAGAAAACAAAGGAAGGGAAGAAAGTCCTGATGGAATTGGGTCTAAGATTTCAAATACAGGTGTGAGGAATGAACAGGCCTCTGGCTGGTTTGGGCACTGAATTCAGTTTAGAGATGGTCTGTCGTACCAGCTGGAGAGGAAGAGTTAGCAGTTCAGTGATCTCACAACTGGGTAACCTCATATTTCATTTGAAGCAGTGGCAACAGATAACTTCTCCAAGGTAAAGAGTTTAAAGGTAAATTCAGAACCCAGCAGTCAAATAACGTGGTTTTAGAATCCAGCGTTTTCATGAGATTGGAAGGCTTGCTTGGGAAGGAGCGCACAAAACCTACGGCATGATAGGAATGTTCTGTAGTTTTAATGGAGGCATTTTGCTGTATGTGCTTATACCTCAACTAAAAAAATGATTGAATCAAAAGTGACATAAGAATCTAACCCATAGCCACCGTGCATTCGGATCAAATCAAGTCAATTAAGGACCAACAACTTGTCACTGTGCTAGGCAAACTGACCTCCAAAGATGGAGAGCCTGTGGTCCTTCACCGGAAGAGCTACTTAAGCAAGGCTGAGGACGAGAAGAGAAAGGCAGGTGTTGGGAGTTGGATGATGAGGCACTCAATCATCACCTTGAGAAGGTGGCCCAGAGGGTGGGGAGTGATCTGAGAGGCCTTTCTAAAGGCTCACCTGTGAGACTGCATTTTCCCGCCCACAAATTAAAGTGTGTCTGCTTTTCACTCTTGGATAAGGTTGAACACCCAAGGCTGAAATAAATTACCCCGCTCCCAAATCCTACAGAGAAAATAAGAAAAACGCAAAGAATCTTAAGATAGAAAACCCATCTTTATATTCAGAGTGGTGTTTAAAGAAAAATTAAATAAATGTCTAGAGTAGAGGTTGGCTTCATAGCTTGTAGGATACATAACAGAAGCTGCTGCTATTGAGAAATCTTTCACTGAAGGAATTTTAACGATAGGCCGTTTAATGTATAACATTGTAAAAGGCATAATATTGTTAATGCCAAAATCACAACAACAACAAAAAGTTTCTCTTTTCAGGCTGGTAATAGTTCTGACTTATTTTCTATTTCTATTCTTTATCATGCAGTTTGTAAATGAAGAATAACATGAGAACTCTCGCAGGAAACATTCTTCAAAAACTTTCATCATCACTTATGATATTAAAATTAAGAGCATTAAGAGAAGCAGAATGGGCTGGGGTGTGTCTGGGTGGTAGACTAACCTATAGTATGTGCTAGGCCCTAGCCTAGACGCTAGCTCTGGAAAGAAGAAAGCGCTAAAAGTGCACTTACGACATTGTTCCTTTGCCCGTCCACGGTGACTGAGCGTGCTATCCCGTATTTAGGTGGTGCTGTTGTAATACAGCACGGCAATGGTGGAGAATCAGCAACACCCAGCTATAGCAATGAAGAGAGGCGGCGGCTGTCCAGCTCACATAGCAGCTTTACCGATTGCCTCTTTCTCCCTCTGCATCCTAGCTGCAGTACAGCAGTGGCGATCAGAAGGAAGGGTAGCTGCATGGCTGCACATCCCCATCCTGCAGAGCCACTTCATCGCCCCTGCTGCTTCCCTGGGCTTTTGCTTCCACCACGCAGAGCCACACTCCTCGACACTGACTCTCTGGCTAGGCGAAGGACCCAGCAGACTGCCAGGATATGCTACACATCAAGTCGGGGTTGCAGGTCAGTTCCAGTCTCACACTCACAGGAATTACCTTCTTGCAGGCTTTCCATGTCTTTCCATGGAAAGTGAGGTCTTGTGAGGGAATGCTGCTTCAGTGAGCACTGTGTGACTGTTCACTGTGCAACTGTGGCATAGAGCTTTTAAGAAATGAACAGGGTCTGCCCGGTGAGCTATGCGGTGGCACAGAAAACAAATGGAGAAGTGAGCTTCCCGAAGGCCACAGTTAACATCCTTCACATGGATGTCTGAACCTGGCTTCTCAGTGGTGGCGCTGAATTGGGATAAGGAAATAAATTAAACTCCTTACAGCATATGTCACCCCAAATAAACAGTGAAGTTCTCGAGAAAGTAACTTTGTGTGTGTGTGAGAGAGAGAGAGAGATTTGGGTATATTGCAATCAGAACACATATGCCATAATAAACTTGGAGCATATTCACGGAGGCAAGAATGAGTTTTAAAAGATAAAATTGAGAATATCAGAGCAGGTACTTAAAAGAGTAATCTTTGCACACAGCCATTAAGGGAAATAGTGGGCTCTGTCAAAGGGCGAGCATTTCCTCATGGAGTACTCTTTGTTCTGGTTTCAGCCAGCTGTGGCTTCAGCAGTCTTTTGAGAGAGTTATTGTCAGGCATTTATGTTGAGAACTTGCCATTCATAAAATTTTCAGCCTTATTTTCTTTGTTAGGATTGACCCAAAGAACCCCATTTTGACTCTGATGAAGTTGATGAGTATTTCACAGGTATTAGTGCTAATTTTGTGCTGAATATGTAACCCTTGTACAGGAAAGCATAGGTTAAACTTGAAGGCAGGCAAACTAACCATTTGGTTATTTGACTGTTACTTCCTAAGACTTTACATGTTTACTGTGTCAAGTGGTAGTGGTTTAAAGTAGAATGGTGAAACTATCATAGAGCCTTGAAGAGTTAGCTTCAGAAACAGGAAATTCTCTTTGCGGGAGGCATCAAATCTCCTAGAGGACTTTCTAAAATGAATGGCTACTTCTATCCCTGAAGTTCTAATTCCTGCTAATTTCTCTGCCAGCTGTTGCTGCTACTCTGAGGACCACCATTTGAGAACTGTGGTTAAGGAAATTCTTAGGTCTCAGAAGTGGGAAGAAGAACGAAAATAGTAAGGAATCCTTGAGTAAAGGAGAGAACAATGCAGATTAAGTCTGACCTTAGTAATGTGTTGTAATTTTTGTTTTCATAGAGCTCACATGTGGCTCTAGCTAGTCTGCATGTCTCCATTGTGGTAAACAAGCTGGATGGGGATGCACAGCAATATCTACTTTAGATGTAGCCCTCCTCCCCTGCAGTTCTGGACACCCAGAAACTCTGTGGGTTTTCCCTCAGAAGACTACCCAGTCATTTAGTGACAGCCTGATGCTTCACACAAAACCATGTGTGTGTGTGTGTGTGTGTGTGTGTGTGTGTGTGTGTGTGTAAGTATGTGTGGAGGCCAGACAACAGCCTTGGGTGTCATTCCTCTGGTGTCATCCACCTTGTGTTTTAGAGCCTACAGTGACGGATTTGGTTGTGCTGGCTAGGTTGCAAGCCCTAGGATCTCCTACCTAACACTAGGTCTACAAATGCACATCACTGTGCCTGCTTTTCTATGTCGACACTAGGGATCTGAGCTCAGTTCCCCAAGCTTGTCTGAGAAGCATTTCCTGACTTCAGAAATGCTCTCAAACCTCCTTTCTAAGATAGAGACCTCCCCATGTCAGTTCCATCAGTCTATGACTCTCTGTCCAGCTGTTTTTCCTTATAGCACCGAGTGCAACCCAAAATTATATATGTACTTACTCTCCCCAACAACATGCAAACTCCATGAAGCCAGCCATTTTGTGTCTTGTTCACCATTGTTTCCTCCAAGTACAAAGTAGGAACCCAGTATACCATGGATGGATGGATGGATAGATGTATATAAGAGGGATGGATGGATAGATTGATAGATGGATATTAAGATGATGTATGGATATAAGACTGATGGATGATGGATAGACAGATAGATATAAAGATGATGGATGGATGGATAGATATGAGAATGATGGGTGGATGGATGGATGGGTGAGTAGATGGATGGATGGTGACATCTTTAAGTAGGGGACAGTTGCTATGTCTTAATGGAGCAATGCTGTTCATGAGAGTGCCCACTTGGAATGAAGTCTGGCTATTAAGACCAGCTCTCCTGCTGAGGGCTATATGGACTTAGTCACTCCTTATGACACATGACCATGTGACAGACATCAAGCTACTGCACAGGAGACACACAGTACCAAATATATTAGAAAGGATATAAATATATAAGGATGATGGATGGGTGGATGGATGGATTGATGGATGGTTGGATGGATATAAGGATGATGGATGGGTGGATGGATGATTTAATCCTAATCTTGTGTTGGTTTAGCGTTATGCTGTGACCAGCAGGGGTCGCTCCAATTGTGCTTAATACCTTTTCACTCTGGTTTATGCTGTCAGTGAATACATTAAAGAAAAGACAATGGGTAATCACACAGTCTTCCAATCTAAAAATAGGTTTGTTGGCATTCTATCCCTTGGAAAGTTCAATTAGATTTACATCTTTGCTATGTTCCTCACTGGTGTTAATTACACTTTCTGGTTTCCTTTTCTGCCTCAAGAGTACCAAGTGCAGTGTTTCATTTCAGCTACTTTTAAATATTTGAATTTGTAAAAGAAATTTATTTATGAATGTGTGTTTGAGTATGTGTATGTGTGTGAGTGTGTGAGAGAGAGAGGGAGGGAGGTAGAGAGGTGGAGGTGTCTATAGAGACTAGGAAAGAGTGCCAGATCCTGAGATCTGGAGTTACATGAAGATGAAGCTGTAAACCATCTGAAGTGAGTGCTGGGAACTGAAATTGGGTCCCCTGCAAGAATAGTACAGTTTTTAACCTTTGACCATCTCTCCAGCCCCTCAATTACAAATAAGCTTTCTATATTTGCCTCTACTAGTTTGTTTGTTTTTTTCCCACTCTCTGTTCTTTAGCTTAGCTTTCATTTGTCTCCACTCTACACACACAACAGAATATAAATCTCAGAAGGACAGGAATTTGTTGGTGTGTTTGCCACTGTATCCCCAGCAACTGGTAAAATATCTTATATATAATAATTCAGTTAATACATAAAGGACTTGTGTATGTTACATATAAAGACTCAGGAATCTTAAAAGAATCGATAAGTATGTAGAAAATATCTCCCCATGTGGATATGTTGAAGTTATCCCATTTCAAGGATTCTATTAAAAATCATTAAAGTATTCTGTTTTTGACCTAGGATTGCCCAAACAAACATACTAAAAGAGGAGCTGGAGAGATGGCTCAGGAATTAAGAGCACTTCATGCTCCTCCAGAGCACCAGAGTTCAATTCCTGGCAACCATATGGCAGCTCACAACTATCTGTAACTCCAGTGCCAGTTGACCCACTATCCTCTCTGGCCTCCTTAGGCACTGTATGCACATAATACAAACATACATGCAGACAAAACACCAATGCAAATAAAATAAAAAGGGAAAATATGAATACTAAAAATCTAAATACAAAAATATAAAGCACAGTGTCTTTGGTCCTAACATTTAGCAAAGTCCACAGTACCCTGAGCAATGTGTATGCTGAATTAGTAAATGAAAGTGCTGAATTGGAACTTTAAGCATATACTGAATAAAACTTCTAAATGTATGAGTGTGCTATAGCATATATGTATACACAGTGAAAAAATGTAACTAGCTTCAGTTGAGATAGTTGGGATCTGGACTGCCAAAAAGCAGAGGCCTGAAAAATCTGTGCTGTGCTTGAAGGAGTTAAGGATTAGAGCAAAAGGTCTGGTGTATCTTTAGAGCTTTAAACACTGAGGTGAGAGTGCTTGAATCGTGTTCAAAACCTAATCCCCAGCGGTGATGGCATTAATAGGTGAGGCCTGCACAGGTGACTAGGTTCCTGAGGACAGAGCTTTAACAAGGCATTGGAGCCCTTTTTTTCAGAGATCTAAAGGACCCACCCTTTTTCCTGTGTAGGAATGCTCTCTATGAGAATTAGCCCTTCTAACACATGCATGTGTTAGTGCTTTGATCCCAGACGTCTTAGATTCTTAATCTGTGAGAAAAAAATGTTCTAAGATCTCAGTAGACAATGTCATTAGAGAGCCAGATTGACTGCCGCAAGCACTTCAGGCTATGTAAACCCCAAAGAAAATGTTCTTAAAGTATAAAAAAACATCTTCACCTGTGCCACAAGGCATAGACAATCTATAGAAAAAGTTTATATTGGTGATTATTATACAAGTTTAACATATGCTGTAGCCACCCCGGGAATTCCAAATTGTTAGAAAGAAGGAGGGGGAGGGAGGAAGAGAGAGAGTTAAAGACAAAGACCTGATCAACTGAGCAATGACCTTCTTACTTAAAAGATGTTTTATAAACTTCATGGCTGAGATATGTGAACCAGGCCTTCAAATATGGTATTTTGTTGGGTGGTATTTTTTAATGACCACCAGTGAGCATTGGAAGAATTGAAGGAAAATGAAATTAACATTTTGCGGTTATCTTTTCCCAAAAAAGGTGCCGTATTTGATGGCAGCACCAGAAAAGTACTCGTTGTACAAGACCGAAATAAAGTAAGTTGTTATTTCTGCCATGTAGTTTGCTTTCAAGGTGTTCTCTCTAGAGAAAAGTAGAATATAGAAATGTTGATATGGCTAAAGGAATATAGAAAGATACTTTGATAATTAGAATAAGTAATTGTGGAACACTTAGCTACTTACCTAAATTAAGTTGTAATAGCGGCCTGAACCTGTCCTCACGTTTGTGCTTACTCCATGGCTGTAAACTACTACAGATGATAGTGTGTAATTGGGAAGACACATTTTTGGGGTAGCTTCCAGTCACTTAGCAGTCTTAGTATAGGCCAGAGACTGAAAACATACTACCCTAACAGTCCTGCAGCTCAGTCTCTGGATTGTCCTAGAGTAGATCTAACTCTGCCATAAGAGCCTCCAGAGATGCCTCAAAGGAAGTGACATTTCAAACTCAGTCTAGAAGAGTGTTAAGAAAAAGAAGAGTCAGGGAAGGGAGGAGAAAGGAAACAAGAAAGGAAGGAAAGAAAAAGTAGTAGAGGAATGGCTCAGCAGTTAAAGCACTGACTGCTCTAACAGAGGACCAGAGTTTATCTCGGAGCACCCATCTCAGGCAGCTCATGACCACCTGTAACTCCAGCTTCTGAGAATCCGCTGTCCTCTTCTGGACTCTGAAGATAACTTTCATGTGTGTAGAACACACAGATTTCACTCCTACACATAAATGAAAATTTTATATTTTTTCAATTTAAAGGATAGAACTGTAAGCCAAGTTTTAGAATTGACAGTGTGAAGGCACAAAGCTCAGCCTGTGGCTGCCATGGTGGACACCAAGAAGAACCATTATTGTGATCAGGAATGCTGGCAGGGGGATCTGACCTGAGACTGGCAACAGCACATAAAGGCTAAAAGAAAATCCCAGACTTCTCGAAGCAGCAAAGACTAAGAGAAGAACCACGATTAGAAATGTTCCCATGCTTGGGCATTGATGTCAAAGTGAAGGAGAATGCTTTTTCTACTTCTGTGGTGCTGGGAATCCAAGCTGGGACTTGTGCTACTCCTGAGCTATTACCACCTCAGCAAGAGTATTTATCTTTTCTGACCTTCATTAAATAGTGCTGGACAAAAATGAAACATTTTCCTCATTATATGTAATAACAACATCATAGTTTCTCAGACATGCTATCTAAAATTTTTCTAAGTAACTTCTGAGGCTTAGCTTAAGGCTGTATCTCTGACTCAAACAAAACTTGCTACCAGCAACAGAAACATATACAGCCCCTAAAGTCATATTGTGCCCTAGCCTTTAATAAGTTTTCTGATTGGATTGGGTATATTTGATAGTAATGACTAGAGAGTAAGGAATGTAATTTAACGGACATGGTAGGACACACTGTGAGGGTGCCTAGGAGGCAGATGTGAGTTTAGACTTGAAATGCAAATAGCAGCTATGGACAGGTGTTACTGTGATATCAGAATGACAGTGTATGGGAAGGTCAATGTTCTAAGTTCTCAAGTGCCCTATTACATCATTAATTTCTTTTATTACAAATAGAGTTTATGGTGATAGTGTCCAGTCAGTTTCCATAGAAACAAAGCTTCCAGAACCATTTCAAACAATGCAATTGTGCAGATGAGGTAGATTTCTATACTAATAAAGTAAGGCATAATGTGCTTTATAAGTTAAACCTGAGCTGGACGTTGGAGGATGTAAAGCCTGGATTCTGTACCCAGTAATCAATAGTGTGTGGAAAGCAGGAATCCTACCAATGGCCTCCAAGCCTACATAACTAAGAGGTGATGCATGCTCTCAGAAGCATGTTTCCAGGAAGCCAGAGGATCATAGCACACAGTGGAAAGTCCACAAAGGTTTTATGAATGAGGAGTATGAATCTGCTGGCTTATAAGGTCACTTCTCATTCTTAAGGATTATACTATGTTGAACACATAAAACAGAATTCTACAAAAAGACAATCATGTCAGCCATGAGAAAACTGTCGTGTGCCAGCTCATAATTATTTTCATCTAATCTTATTTCTTCCAGAGATCAGGTTTACCGCCTTAGCATTCTTCCACCATCCCCCAAAGAGAAATAATTGATGAGAAAATACAAAGAAATGGTAGCCAAGAAACCAAATTGATTTTATTCGCACTACCCAAAAAAAGCAATTGCATTTTACACAAAACTATTAACACAGAGAAATCTTGAGTAATATCTGTGACAAGAAACAAAATACAGCAAATACATGTAAAGATCTAGAGTAGCATCCCTCGGTGGTTACATTTACCCTGTCCTCTACTTCCTTATAGCAGCATCTGTGAGATCCCATCTGTTTATAGTTAGCTAGCAGCCAAGTTCTGTGATGTACACAAATGAATAGACATCTCCCTCCAAAAGTCACTGATACAAGGGTTATCACATTAACTGAATGATACCACTTCTGTTTCCTGAATAAGAGGAAAAGACTCCATCAATCACTATATTCCTCAAAAGAGAGAAAAAATGAAGTAAGAAAGCTGAGAGAAATAGAATAAATGTATTAAAAGACAAGTTTTTACTTCCTTGACCAACCACGAGTAGACTAGGGTACAGGAAGCAGAGAGAGAGAGAATGAGAGTGAATCATGACAGGACCTGTTGTTTTATTTTGCATTGCAGTTGAAAAATATGTGGAAGTTTCCAGGAGGCCTGTCAGAGCCTGGAGAAGATATTGGTAAGTATTTAAATACTTCTGGTAAGCTTGAAAATATGTGGAAAATTAGTATGATTACTTCCTTGCTTTATAGCTAAGAATAAGAATTTAAAGTTTTTAATTGGTTCACACTAAGTCAGAAAATTCCAGACAGATTTCTTCAGTGCTGATACAAAGTTAGCATGAACTTTCTAACACATTCATTCATTTGTGTAGTTGATAGCTATGGAGCATTAACACACAGCTTTCCAATGGTGCTCTGAGGTCTGAAAAGGAGCAACTTGAGATGTTCATTAGTAAAGTTCACTATAAAGATTTTTCAAATATGGCTAAATTATTAAGAAATCAACTATTTTGATTTCTTAACCACTTTATCATAGATTGGTAATGGTAATTTTAAACTGAATTTTAAGGAATAATGAAGGCAACTATAAGAAAATAGTGATATAATTCTCTTTTGAAGATTTTTACCAGCTATTTATTATGAATAATCTAAAACATAAAAAATTACCTCATAAGAAAGTCTCAAGTGGGAAATAACATGCCTCCCCTTTCCCACCAAAATAGCTTGTAGGGAGCTACAGTGGACTGAAGACCTAGTCACTGCTCTGCAAAGTAATAGAATCATGTTGTTCCTTAAATTATTAAGTTACATTCACCATCATCCTAGTCAATAAATAATGCACTAGATACCGATAGTATTTCTCAAAGCCCTTTTCTTTAATATGCACATTCTCGTCTCTCCTTAACCAGCCACTGTATTAGAGCAGTCTTCTGTGGTTACCTACAATTGAGTGTATGTTTGTGAAATCTGATGTTTAAATGTTACACAGATCAAGATGCCCGGTATGTATTTACATGGCCAACTCCTAACAGCCCATGAGCAACACTGATGAAATTCAGACACATAAACCAAACCTTGCTGTTAGGTTCTCACTGAGCTACTCGCTGAGTTCTCTGGTGGATAGTCTGTTGATGGTCCTCTGGGGACCTGGGTGTGATGGCACATTCTTGCTCATCACACACTAAGGAGGAGGCTGAGGCAAGAGGATGATGTTTCAAGGCACCATGTGCTGCTGAGACCATGTTACATCAAAAACATCTGGATTGTGTAGGGTGCCAATACCGAGAGTGAAGGTGGTTTTTCTCATAAGGCCGCCTTCTCGGTACCACCTTTTTCATTTCTCGATACTACCATGCCCTGTGTATTGAGAGCACGTGAGCAAGTAACTCAAGTCTCGCCTTCTTAGCCTCCACACTGCAGGTAGGCCTTCTGCAGCCCTGTGTGCCTTTCCCGCCAGAGACATATCTTTTCAAATGAATTGAGGTATTATGTTTTTCTTTCTTTTGAGCTTCAGTAGATCCTAAGAATTTTAGACAGATATAAATGAAAAAAGAATTTTCAAGTTAAATATGTATAAATGTAGGTTTAAGTATAATTCTAGAATCTTTCCTTTAAGCCATATAATTTTAAATGCACTACTAGTTTTTTTTTTCTAAGTATATGTGATTATCAAAATAACTCACCCATCCGAACTGAAAGCAAAAGCAGAATCTAGCATTCACCATTTCCTTCATCTTACAACTTGCCCTTCTGCAGCCTGTTCCTACTGAGAGCACAGCACAAAATAAAGATACTCTAGTTGCCTAGGGTATATGGAAAATCATATTTCTGAAACCTTTGTTTAGGAAAATATGAAATACACTTTTGGAATGTTGCCATCCTGAACAGTTCAATATTTAACTAGGCAATTAACTAGGCTATTGTGAAATACCAGTAACAAATACTAGTTAATTTGGAAACTTATTTGTTTGGAATCTTTCATTCTCTGATAATGCTAAGTAAGTGAAACATTGATATGCTAAGTGTTTTTGAGAAACACTCAAAAGTAAGTTGGGAAAATAGAAAACTAATCAAATTCCCAAGACTTGTGTCTAAAGGTGTCTGTACAGCTCAAAGGCACAAAATACCTTCCTAAAATATGTCATTGCCATTGTTGAAAAGTATGTCCTGCTTCACCCAATCAGAGATGCTCAACAGGATCAGAGGGAACTCAAGGAAACCTACATGCTGAAAGTTTCCTATCACTCTATTCCATCCTATCATTACATATTACAATACAGAAAAAACTTGGAATGTCTTTGCTGTCCTACTATTCAGCAATCCAGCCTGACATTCAAACATATCTCTTCATCAGCAAGAATGAACTTCTACACACCTTCTGGTTTTTTTTTTTTTTTCAGCTGAGTTTAAAGTCTATTAAAATAAAGGAACAACAGTTTATCTTGATAAACCTAAATTCATGTTGAAACTGTGGGAGAGACTTATGTTTTAAGGATGTCCCACATCTCAGATGCAAAAGTACTGGCTTGCATTTTCCGGTTTCAGCTATCGGTGATACGCTGAGTCAAGTTAAACTATTCAGACTACCTAGGCAGTGTTCATCCTGTCCCCACTATGGTCTATAATGACTACTAAGCAAGATACTCATTCTCTCATTTATGCTGTCCTGTTTTGTGACTTTCATACAGCTGGTCAGATTAGTGGTGCTAAGAACTGAGCAGGATCCCCAAGGTTATTTTCCAGAGCCTTTAAAGAATATCTATATTATATATATTTAAACAAGAGCTAGAGGCCACTATATAAACATTTAAGACTAGTGCCACAAAATTTTATACTGCATTGCATGCTAGATGAAAACTATTTTCTTGTTTGAGAAAGTTGGTGAGCCTAGAAATGTTCTTTGATGCCTCATTTTGTGGTGCCAGGAACTGAAACCAGCATCTCACACAGCTGAAGCAGGCATTCTACACGCTGGGCTATATGCCTAATATTGGTGCTTTCAGTTTCAGAATGTAATTTCTGGCCATGCTTAACCTATGGACAGATCTCAGTCACATGAAAGTCAGCATGCAGTTAAAGAACAGCAGATACATGTCTTATATTTTAGACTAAATTACTCTGCCCGTGGACCTTTCCAGAACTGTTTTTCAGGAATACAAGCAGTCTTGGGGGCTGGTATGTATCCAGTGGGCAGGGAAGATAGTCTCTGAATTGAGTGCACAAGAACTGTGAGCTTCGGATAACTCTTCAATGCACAGGTGTTATTAGGAGGACTGCTGTTGAGACAGACTTATGTGCTATCTGATAGATATCTGGAGAGGCATTAAATGGTTTTTAAACAACCTACAGCAATTCTGAAGATTTCCAAAAAAGCAACCAAGGCAAGCAGCTAGAGAGCATCAGAATTAAGGAAGTCCATTCATGCAGTCTTTTCAGGTATCTAAAAAACTGGATGTATGTTAATGTATGTATGTTAATGGCAATAAAAGTCCTGCCATGGAAACTTCTGTTTAATTAAAAATATTCATAAAATGTGAAAACCTTTGATGTATTATAAAATTATATTTGCTTCCAGCATTATAAGGATGACTGATGAGACAGCCATTGCATTTTGGTGTTGAAGGAATGAATTCAAAGTTCTACACAATCTGATTTCAAGGAAAAGCAGTTTTTAAATCAGGCTGGGGCCCAGTGATGGCCAGGACGGGTACAGCCATGGTGAGAGACCTTGCCCTGGGGGCAGTGGGCTTGAGATCCCAAAGAAGTCAGAGTCATTTCACAGCTCGCTCAAGTATATTTAGCACTGTAGATACCTGTAACCAGAGAAGGGTCCTTTCTCTCAATTCAGGTGTCCACAGACTTTCAGGGTGGGACAATACTGAAGGATTTATCAGAATATTAACCGCAACTTTGTTTGCAAATGTGTTCTTGCCTTTGGGAAATAGAACAAGAAGAGGTTAAGAAAATGTCCATAAGCCTCCAAAGAGACCCTCAATGTCTTAAACACTTCACAATGTCCAGAAAGCAGTTTGAAGACAGTTTTGCTTTTAAACTTCTAGATTTTAACTGAAAATTTTGATGGCATCTCGAAGAACAAAATCTTTATGTTTGTTTCTCCCCTTTTCACATAGGAGACACAGCAGTCCGAGAGGTTTATGAAGAGACTGGTGTCAAGTCAGAATTCAGGTCCCTGCTGAGCATCCGGCAGCAGCACAGGAGTCCTGGAGCCTTCGGGAAGTCAGACATGTACCTGGTGATGCCTGAAGTGTGAATGGATCGATCTAGAAGACCTGGCTAGGACTGAAAACACGACCCCCATCACTAGCAGGGTGGCTAGGCTACTACTGTACGGACACAGGGAAGGGTTTGACAAAATTGACCTCAGCATGGAGGAACTCCCTGCGGTGTACACAGGCCTGTTCTACAAGCTCTACCACAGGGAATTGCCAGAGCGCTACAAAGCCATAACCGCAGCAGACTGAATGCAAACATTCGTACCTGCACCCAGTTTTCTCACATACATGATTTCCATGATGGAGATTTGTAAATATTCATATTTTTAAATCCTCTTTTCAAATAAAGAAAATAAACGAAGAACATTGTAGCATTAATGTCACTGGGTCACAACAAAAGCTATATAAACAGGGCACATCTACATATTTTCCAAACGTTGTTTCTTTACTGAGGTAATGGTTAAGTCTTACTGATAACATAACAGGTATCCAAGCTCAGTTGTATACATTCTTTTCATTTCTCTCAGTAATAGTTTCTAAATTGAATCAGCTCTTAGCAGACATCGGAAGAAACAGTATGGCCTTCTGTCCAGGTCCCGTTTTGGATCCGAGTTTATACTGCCCAGTTCGTTTCAGTGCCACATACCAACTGGAGTATTTCCTTGACCGGTAAGTATTGTAGTTATTAGATTCCAATCGTTCAAAAAAGAAACACTCTTCTGTAACACATTTCTGGAAAAGAAAGGAAAATTTATTTTTATGCTTTTCATGTCAAACACTGAGAGGACAGCGAGATAGCCACGCGAACAAGACTGTATGTCAAAAGGTGACAGTTCTGCCGATGGATGATAGCAGGAACCCGAGTCAGTGGAGCAGCATCTCCTGTGCAAGAGCAGCCCAGCACCATTCCAGCCCTGTGATCAGCCAGCCAGGTATCAGGCAGCAACCCCACATGGAGGGCAAGGGGTCCATACTTTCCTGGACTCGGAGCATCACAACCCAAATGTTCAGAGGCCCTCAGGAGGGCCACAGGCTGTAACATGAGGAAAGGAAACGTGTCTGTCACATGCATACACCTCATCCCCGGGCAGCTTCACAGGTAGGCATCTTCACTTTTACATTTCTCATGGGATTCAAGGGAAATAATATTAAAAAGGTAAACCAGAGTACTCTCCCCACAAAGAAGGAGGGACAGAATAAGTTCCCAAAAGTTGCAGGTGTTGGCTAGTGACCAAAGTTGCTTGTAGTTTGTTGTGTTTAAAACACCTAAGATTGCCTAATGTAAAAAATATTCAGAACCAGGGAATGGTGTGAGACTGAAAATCTCCAAATGTCAATCAGTAACAAGGAACAGGCTGTCTAGAACACACTGATTTAATAAATAATCCAGAACACATTGGTTTCTGAATACGCAGACTGGAACAGACTCATACTGGTTTCTGAGGAATAAGCAGTCTAGACCATACTGGTTTCTGCAATTCTCATTTTGAACAGAATGAAAGGGACTCTGCCTTTTGGTTTCTATTCACCTGTGTACTGGCTTGGTTTTGTGTCAACTTGACAGAAATTAGTCATCAGAGAAGAAGAAGCCTCAGTGGAGAAAATGCCTCCATGAGGTCCAGATGTAAGGCATTTTCTCAGTTAGTGATCAGTGGGGAGGCCCCAGCCCATGGTAAGTGGTACCAACCGTAGCAGTCCTGGGTTCTATAAGAAAGCAGGCTGAGCAAGGCATGGGAAGCAAGTCAGTAAGCAGCACCCTCCACGGCCTCTGCAGCAGCTCCTGCTGCCAGAATCCTGACATGTTTGAGTTCCTGTCTGCTCAACAGTGATGTGGAAGTGTAAGCCACTGCATCAGCTCCCACGTCCAGGTTCCAGCCCTGCTGTCATAGTGTTTCATCGCAGCAGAAGAAACTCTTAATTAAGACAGCCTGTATCAGAAAAACAATATAGCTTTCAAATAGCTTGGTCTGGAAAGAAAGTTGTAAGTAATGGAGTCTAAAAAGCTATCATATTATTTAGGGAAATATTCAGAAATCAACTTCACAGGGTAACCTTGGACCATAGGGAATCAACTATTTGCTTTTAAAGAAAACAGAAAAAAATCACTGCCTTTTAATAAACATATATGTCAATCATGTCAACCAAATGGTACTTATATAAAAGTCATATACATAGCATGTATATTTAAAAACATATATACAAATCAAGATGTATAAATACATAAATATGATTTGTTTTAATAAGCATATTAGGTTCTACTTTAGAGGTGTTTTTTGTTTTGTTTTGTTTTGTAGATTTAGTTATTTTTCTTTATGGGTGTTTTGCCTGTGTATATGTATGTGCCAAGAGATGTCAAAAGAGGGCAACAGATTCTCTCTGGAACTGAAGCTACCAATGGCTGTGATCTACCATGTAGGCGCTGGGAATCAAAACTGGTTCTTTTGAAAAGGGCCTTTTCATTCACTATTAACCACAGAACGGAATTTTGAAAAGTACTAGTGAATTTGGAATACCACAGGGTTCTATACACAGTAATTCCAAGAAGTCATTTTGTCTTAGTTTTCTATTGCTGCGAAGAGACACCATGAGCAAGAGTCTTTTGGTGTGGAGAGGAGAGTGAAGCAAGGAGGAGGGTTGAATATTCCAGGCTACCAACAGATGATGGGTGAGATGGTGACTTCAGGAAAAACTAGCCCATGTTCAATGTAACACAAACATGTATACACGTTGATAATGTACAGTCTTGATAATGTACAGCCAGATCTTGGGAGCAACAACAGCTCCAAAGCAACAAGCATACTAAATCATATGATCCCGTCTTCCAGTAAAAAGAACAAGACTCCATGGAGAAATGGATTACTCTAGGCTACAGCAGGGGATCTACTTGGACAGCTTGCCACCCACCAAGTAGTGAAGTGCCCAAAATAAACACAGTGAGATGTGTCAAAGCATGGAGTTGAATGCAGGAGTTCCCAGTGTTTCAACAACAAAATCAGTCTTGTAAAAATGGTTGAACTGAAAAGTAAATGGAGAATAGACAAATTTCCTACATAAACTTTAAATAACTTATGTCCCTCAAGGACATAAAGCAAAACCACCAGACTCTACCCATAAGAGTGATCCTCTACACAGTGACATCCTTCCTATAACACACCATCCCCTAGGTGTGGACTGCTGCATGGTCATTTCCTGATGATGCTCCTTGACAGCGAACACCTGCTTGGTAACTCCCTTCCCAAGAAGAGAAAGACTAACTTCAGATTGGAGACACCCACTTTTACAGCCAAATGATGAGGTCTGTATTTGTGTGGTTATCCTTTCAAACTTTCAGAACTCTGTCTAGTCACAAGAAAAACACCAGGCAATCCCAAACTGGAAGATCCTAAAGATGTCTGGCTGTCAACATAATGAAAAATAAGGAGAGTCTAAGAAATGCTCACTGTCTAGAGGAAACTACAGAGACAGGATGACCAAAGCTGGCCCTGAATTGGATCTGGATAGAGGAAAATCAAAATGTTGTAAGTTAGTACAGACTTCAGCTACTGGTATCGTAGCACGACAGGCAGCTAGCTACCTAGCGGGAGAAACAGTACAGCTTTCATAAGAAAGCTGGGAACCTAAGACTTATAAAAGCAAACTGTATTCTTAACCCGATGATCATTACACAGTAAATGCCCTCACCAGACATGCATTGTCCATTCTAAATACGTCAAACTACACGACAAACATAAAACACAAGTAATGCAGAAAGCCGGACCCTAGAACTGCATGTGTTAGCAGAAAACCTGTCCATGTGGAGGGAAGGCTCAGTGGACAAAATGTTTCCTATGCAAGTATGAGGATAAAGTTGAGACCCCCCAGAACCCACATAAATACCAAGTGGGAGCAATGGCCACCTGTAAACCCAGCATATGGAAGCAGAGGATCCTCAGTGCAAGCTGGCTAGCCAGACTAGCCAAAATCACTCCACATTTAGCAAGAAACCTTGTGTCTTAGTTATTGTTTCTATTGCTGTGATAAAACACCATGACCAAAAGCTTGAGGAAGGGAGGAAAGGATTTATTTTAGCTTACAGTTCCACCTCACAGTCCATCACTGAGGGAAGTCGGGTTGAACCTAGAGGCAGAGAACATGGAGAGGTGCTGCTTACTAGCTTGCTCCTCACGGCTTGCTCAGACCACCCAGGGCCACCATCCCAAGGGTAGCACTGCCCACAGTAAGCTAGGCCCTCACACATCAACCAACAATCAAGAAAATACACCACCAGCTTGTCCATAGGCCAGTCTGGTGGGGGCATTTTCTCAGTTAAGAAGGGTGTGGCCCCTGACAGGTCAACCATGCTCCATTGCATGACCACACATCCAGGAGTATATGGGCAGCACAAATTGAATTCAGTGGGTTTTTAAAACAGAAGACCAAGTTGGGACGGGTTGGACAGTGGGGATGGATCCTGGAGGAGTTACGGAAGGAATGATCAAAATATATTATAAGAAATTCCCCCAAAATCTGGGCCCAGGGGTCTTTTCTGAGACTGATACTCTAACCAAGGACCCTTCATGGAGATAACCTAGAACCCCTGCACAGATGTAGCCCGTGGCAGCTCATTCTCCAAATGGGCATCCTAGTAAGGGGAACAGGGGGATGTGTCTGACATGAACTCATGGGCTGGCTCTTTGATTACCTCCCACTGATGGGGGGAGGGCAGCCTTACCAGGCCACAGAGGAAGACTTTAAAAGGTCCTGGTAGGCTAGGGTCACATGGAAGGGAAGGAGGTCCTCCCTTATCAGTGGACTGGGAAAGGGGCATTGGAGGAGATGAGGGAGGGAAGGAAGGAGGGCAGGATTGGGAGGGGATGAGATGGCACTACAGCTTGGATACAAAGTAAACAAATTGTAATAAGTAAAAAATTATATTAAAAAATACAAAAAGGAAAAAAGAAATTCTCAAAGAAATAATAAAACTTGTGTAACAAGAGAGCAAGCTGCTGTGTAGTGACAGCCTTCCTATAAATCCCCTGTGAAAATTCTGATTTATTATATCTGTTGTGGTATCCATGCTGCTGCATAGTAAGAAATCAATAAATAGCCACTGAATCAATGAGCAAATAAAATATTTTAGATAGTTTTAAAAATAAAGCTACACTGATGCTGCAGAATCTGAATAAGAGAGAAACCAGGCCAGAAAAGCCTGACATTGAACTGAGATATAGAATGTTTTAACTGTATTGAATACAGATTCTGCAAGGAAACTGAGAAGAGGGCCCTTTCCATGGGTCTAACCACCCTGACTTGACATCCATGATGGCTCCAGCCAGCCAGGAAGCCTGGGCTCCAGCGTTGCCTCAATCCCTAACTAACGAGCATAATGTCTGACCAAGTTCTGTACCTTCTCTGGGCCTCACTGGGTCAGATGGTCTCCCCACAGTAAGAAACATCTGTGACACAGCAAGATGCCTCAAGGCTTTCTGCACCCCTCCCGCCTGCACCCTGGCTCTGGTCTTCTGCTCAGTTTTAGGTTTGAACCTTATGGCCATTTCCCCATGCTCTGTTTTCCGAGTTGTTTCCTCATTTACAGTACTTTGATTTTTGAAGTTTTGGCCTATGAAGAAGTTTGCTCAATAGAAATTTCAAGATGCATTTGCTCACACTGCTTCTGAGAATCAAAAACAGATGTGATGTAAGTATCCATGCCGAACATTTCAGAACTAAATAAAAACCACAAATGGGAAAAG